TGCTTTTTTCTGCTGAGTGGGTGTTTGCTGGAGTTGCCAAGGTCAGGAGGAGAGAGACCAAGAAGTGAGGCGTGGAGCTTGGAGCTTTGACCTCTGTCTGGCCTCGGTCGTGCCTGCGCAGCTCTGAGTCACATGGACGGAGTCTTCTTGATGAAGGGAAAGGGCTCAGTGTTGCGAAGACGGCGGACGACAGGCGCACTGCTGCCCGCCTCGGACAAAAGACGAGTTGTGCAGAGGTGGCGAGGCGCACAATGGGACAGTTTGAGTGGAGGAGGTGAGGAGAGCTCAATCTCCAGCACAAGCACCTCGTTGTGAAGGCGGAATCCATGAGGGCAAAGAAAGCAACTGCGATTTTGCAAGAATTGGTGCGAAGGAGAATGAGGAAGGTAAAAATGTGCATGGTCAGAATGACCGAGCGGTCCTGACTTCAGGTCTGCGAATCGTCGTCCGCTTGTGGTAACTGCCGTTGAAAGTTTGAATCCAGCAGTGGACAGTTGAGGTTTATCGTTACTATGTAGAGATATGTCATTTGAATATAACTGAATGCACTATTTTTATTTCCTTATTATGACGACAAATACCAAGGCCACACAATTGCAGCTTATTAAAACTGTTTTATCAAAAGACAAATTCATTTTAACACAATTGAGTTGCATGGCTCGGTCGAAAAATTCTGACTTGCAGTATGGGAGCCTGCGATCAGCTAGCTAGCTAGCTTAGCACACTGATCTCGGGCAGCCATTAGCCGTCCATTCTTTTGGGCACCACGGACCACTTTCGGGTAAAAACATACAACGCATTTTGATGGAGCATCGACGGCGTGGCCCAGCAACACAGAGAGAACGCTTCCTTCGAGGCGTTCCGCCACCGTCTCACAGCGAATGTTGTCATTAGCGATCAGCCACAACGGTTATTCATAAGCTACTATGTAACACGCTCCGAAGGTCAAGTTAAAAATAGAAGCGAAACAAGGAACACTGTCGATGGATCTCAACGTGTTCCTTTTATTTTGAAATTGGCATCGTGGCAGCTGAATTGACTATGAATTGAGGCTGGCCAGACAGTATGCAAAAGCGTCACGTTCGACTTGAACTGGAGCGCCGGATTCCATTTTTTAGTCCTCATGCGGCGCCCCTGTTCAAAAACACTTTTGCAAAATACATTCTGTCTGTAAATGTACAGGATATCTGCTTTGTAATCTTCCTGCCTTCTTTTTTGGGAGTCACACATAAATGCGGAGCTCGCTGATGAGAAATGAAATCGGTGAGACAAAGGATACGTTTCCTGTTAATCCTTTTAATAAATCAGTCGTTTTCTCCTCCCTCTTTGCAGATTTGAGCATGTGGTGAAGATAACAGTGAAGAATATTCCACCCAAAGTCATGTGCCTTTCGAGGTCACGTACAGTCCAAGTACAGTTTGATAAATCGGAGCGTAAAAGGCTTCTTTCCAACCTCGGGGCTTGCTGTTCCCATGCTCACACAGGAATAGGCCCAGGTAACATTCAATTGTTTTTGGCAGTCATCCATGTGATCTGCGCTCTTACGACCAAATCTGTTGCCAAGCAGCTCATCTTGCCTTGAACCCTTTTGAATACCCCCCCTCCACCAAACACGCACAAACAAAAAGACAACAACACAAAATCCCGGCGGAGCAACAAACCTCGTCTGCAGACAAGGAAAGCAGAACTCGGAGCGTTTTCTATACTTGTGCGTACAGAGCATCTCTAAATCCAAACAGTCTAAACCGAGATGTGACTAATCAAGATGTGACTAAGACGTCAGACACATTTTTGTTTTCACAAACGCTGGAACCTGATAAGTGAAGTGTTCCAACGAAACGCCACATGTCAATGTTTAGACTTGAACATCAAGCACGACTGTGTTGTTTCTGGACATCAACAGTCTTAGTCATGAATCCATAACACACGCTGTATACATCTGCCTCTGTGTTCACCCTTTTTTTTTCTCCTCTCTCTCACACGGCTTAGGTAGTAGGAGTGTTTTGACTAACATTTAGCATGATGGCAAGATGCCACTGCATGAGTCTTCCCGTAAACACTCACCACTCTGGACCATAAAATGTGCTTTGCCAAAATGTCACTGGGACTGCGGTCAACCTCGGCCGCAACGCTGAATAAAACCTCAACCCCAGCGGAGTGGAGCAGTGGCTGAAACGAACAGCTGCGCAGAGAATAGCATTTATAAGGGAGGTGGCAAAGTAGATGCACAACACTGCCAGGAAGTGTGTTGTTTTTCTCTGTTTATCCATATTCCCATGGAGACTGGCAAGGAGGAATAGAATTAAAACAATCTTGGTGAATAGCAGACAATTTCTTCGCATCGCTATTATCAATCATGTAAAAAAAAAAAAAAAAAAAAAAGAGAAAAAAAAGGCAGGCTTCAGCTTTCAAACTTGCTGTGCGATTTTGTTGACCTCTGTTTTCTTGGGAGCACTCCTACCAGGTCTAAACACAATAACAGGGTCTGTCTGACTGCCAAAACTAGAACAGCAAAGCTTAAACAAACATGCAGATGGAGGGGCTGCTTTGACTCGGAAAGTTCAAATCTGAAAGTTGTTCTGGCAACTTTTGGTTTCTATCATCAGGGGTTGCCACAACGAGTCTGTCATCACATGATTTGTTTGGCACAATATTGATGTTGAACACCCTTCATGACTATATATATATATATATACACATTTATAGCCTATCCCAGCCGAGTCGACAAGAGTCCAAGTTGCAATGACTCACGCCCCTAACTCTGTTACCACTCGAATACAGTGGTGTCTACATTTGAAAGAACCACATGTCCACATGTCAGTAGATTTTCTTCACGACAGTCCTTTAGCTTAATGCTAACAACCAATACAAAGCGCCATAGATGAGCAAATTAATAACAGTGGTGTTGCAGTGCTATAAATAACCCTTAAAAGCAACCCCGACCATAACGACAAACAGATCTCAAAATGCAACGACTGATGTCTACCATTAAAGCACATTGTTTGAAATATATTATTCCTTTTAAGTTTAAAAAAAAAACATGTTTGTTTACAACATAATTTGATGCACAGTGGCCACCATGTTTTCGCATGCGCAATGCATTCTGGGATGATCACGCGATATGGTTCCTGCCATCTGTTGAGGAAAACAAAACAATTACAAACTACTACCGCCAGCAAAAAGGATTTACAAAGCCACACTGTGAAGCTTTTGGAGGTCATTTTCAATCAAAGGGAAATAAAGAAAGGGGGGCAAAACTCCATACCTTTCCTCAAGAAAGAAAGTTAAGTCAACAGTGGGAGGATGCACTTGGAAGAGTCCCTGTGCCCAAGACCAGCGGCTGTGGTTTTGTCATTTTAGCTCAGACTCATTGGAGGCCTTTCATCACCCTCAGCTCATGAGACAGCTCACTGGTGTGTCTGGCTATGAACGCCAGTTAAAACCAAATACAGTGCCTCCAATATTTCCTCACAAGGATCCTCAACAGACACATATGACCCGTGTTATTCTTTCAAGTGCCACGAGAGTGAGCCCGAACACCACTCGAGATCCCGATACCACAACTTGGACAAACCCTGGAGTCAACCTGGAATAAAATTAAAAACGGGTTTCCGGGAAGGAATACGGCTTTCTTCAAAATATTTATTCAGGCAATATGAAACTTTTATTTTTCTCACTACAAATATCTAACTTTCTCATATTACGCCCCTCCAAAGAGATACAACTTTATTCTTCAGATTTATTTTAATCAGAAAAAAATGAGATTCCACTTTATTTCCTGAAAAAAATCTACAGTAAAAGTTTTATCTATTTGGTAATATTCCACCTTGATTGCTTCAATAAAATACAACTCAGCAAAGACAGGAAAAAAAAGTTTTTAAAAAGTCGTGTCACAATATTTAACTCATGAATTGCCTCTAAGTATAAAACTGTAATGATGTCATCAAGGTTTGAATGCTCGAGTGTAGAGGGAGCAAAATTGTCAATATTTTATCAGACTGTTATTGAGTACTGTAATACAATTTAAATCTTATTCACCTTTAAAATTGCATACCTATCTTTGTGTATATACACGCCCATGTGTGTATGCCCGTGTTTATATATATATATATATATATATATATGCAGACACACACACAACACACACATCTTTAACATTTGTTCTATACACACAGTGTTAACCATTTACTGATAAACTCAAAAATCAGACAATTTCCCAAAAATACATTGATAACAACGCGTTTGGGGTGGCATTCAATCCATATTAACTTCATTGCAAAGGTGATCTAAATTCCCAAATCATAATCACAATTATGTAATAATGCAGTCATTGTTGTCGTTTTAAACTATTGTATTTCTCTCCCTCAGTAAACATAAATGATATCCGAGGCTTTTTCCCTCCCTGCAGATCCAGAAAGTCCCTTCCTGAGTAGCACATGGATGGCACAAAAGCAGGAATGCAGTCCAAGAGGGAGTGGGTTCCCGGTTCTCCCGGAGGGGAACTACTACGTCAGTCATGCCCATATTAGGAACGAGGACTTCCTCCACAAAAGGCTGAACCATTTCCACGGATAACTCCCTCTTAAATTTAGTGAACATTCAAATAATTCGTGTCAATTGAACAACAAAACAGGTAATCCTGACCTAAAAAAACAGCGTCACGCGTGATTTTATTTTGTATTCGTGTGTGTTTGTGACAAGAATTAAAACTCAAATTGAATTATGTACCATTCCAACGCCAGTTTGTGTGTCAAATGAGCTTTGTTAAACAGCTAATATGTTAGATTAAAGTTGTAAATAAGGTAAAGGGTCTGTATTTATGACGAAAGAGCGCTCAGAAACCGCCGCCGAGCGCTGTCTTGCCTACAGCCTTATTTACAGTCGTTTCTTCCCGGCATCTGCGTCACTCGTGGAGGCGTGGGCTCTGGAGAAACTGGCCAATCAGAACGCAGCAGTACCCTGGCAGCAAGAGTGTGTCCATGCCTATATAAAACCGCTCGACGAAGCAGACTGAACACACCTTCGCACGCAGCAACGCACACGCTTTCTCGCAGGAGTCCGCAAGTTTTTTTTTGTAGGGGACTTATCAGGTGCGCGAAGAAATCATCAATCAGACTCAGGAGAGCGCTTTTGTCTTGATTTGTGGGACTTTCACTCATTTTTCCGTTGAAGTGATAGTTTCTGATGTCGGGGCACTGTTGACAAGACGAATTGATGCTCGTTCGCTGCTGACTCTTGACATTTGTTGAACTGTTTCAATAAGCAGCCGGTAAGCTTACTTTCCCGACTTTATGTCAACAAAGATGGAACAGCCTTTTTATCATGATGACTCTTTTCTGTCGGCTTACGGCCACTCAGACGCCGCCATGCACGACTACAAGCTGCTAAAGCAGAATATGAATTTGAACTTGACAGAGCCCTATCGCAACCTGAAATCGCACCTGAGGGCCGACACAGACCCGTACCAGGGGGGTCAGCAGGACGTTGGGACCCTGAAGCTCGCATCCCCAGAACTCGAGAGGCTCATCATCCAAAACAGTAACGGTGTGATCACCACCCCGACCCCGGGGCAGTACTTCTACAATCGGGGCATCACTGATGAGCAGGAGGGCTTCGCCGAGGGCTTCGTCAAAGCCTTGGATGAGCTGCACAAGATGAACCAAATGCCTCATTCGGCGTCCTCCCTCGGCGCCAGCGGAGTTACCACATGCTCGCCGGCGGCTCCCAGCGTGTTCGGCTCCGGACTGCAACCCGAACCGCCCATTTACACAACGCTGAACGCCTACTGCCCGAACACCGGCCTCTCTTCGTCCGGCTCCAGCTACCCCACGGCCACCATCAGCTACTTGCCGCCCCACCAGCAGAACCACCCGCAGACCTCCGCGCACGGCGCTTTCCAGAACCCCCACCCGGGCTCTGGACTTCATCCGCAGCGGCTCGTCGCACTCAAAGAGGAACCGCAAACCGTGCCGGACCTCCTGAGTAGCGACGGCTCGCCCCCTATGTCTCCTATCGACCTGGAGACCCAGGAGAGGATCAAGGCGGAGCGCAAGAGGCTGAGGAACCGACTGGCGGCGACCAAGTGCCGGCGGCGCAAACTGGAGCGCATCGCTCGTCTGGAGGAGAAGGTGAAAGGTCTGAAGAGCGACAACGCGGGCCTGTCCAACACAGCATCGGTGCTCCGGGACCAGGTGGCCCAGCTCAAACAGAAGGTTCTGACCCACGTGAGCAGCGGCTGTCAGCTGATGCTCACGAGCAAGATGGAGGCATTTTAAACACAAAGACTACTTTAAAAAAAAAAGTGACTTTAAGGTGATAACACTGGAGTCATGCTGTGCATATAGCACCACAACAACGCGAGGCAGCAGGGGGACTTTGTAGACAACTATGTTGTGCAAAAGACTGATTGAAATGGTACTTCCGGATGCTGGACACCCTCAAAGAGCCATTCAACACTTCATCAGTGCAGCATTCGAAATGGGCAAACACTGAGAGAAGATGCCCTTATTATAGTTTACTAAACGGCAGAAATCGGTTATCAATATGTCTTTGTATATTTGCCACTGATGGTATTGTTACCAAATGCTGCATATATTCTTTGTGTAAATTATTGTTGTTTGTCCCGGTTGACCCAGGCAAACTAACCTTGTCCGATGTTTACAATGTCCTTCTTTTTTAATGTGTGATGTGTATTTAAGTAAAGAGTCTCAAAAACATGATGGCATTGTGTTGTTTTTCTCTTTTCATGAACAGTGTGAGGGAAAAGGTCACTGCATGAGAGCCTCAATGTACTTACTGCATTGATGTCCTTGACCTTTAAAGTTGAGAAATATGCCCGTAACTTTTAGCCACAGAAAAAGTCCAAACACTTACTGTAAAGGGAGCGCAATAAAAATGTTTGTTTGGTGTTCAATGTGGGCAACGTGATGGTTAGCACAGTTTTGAAGTTCAGGGTTTGAATAGGGCCTTCTTGTACGGAGTTTGGCTCTAGTTGACTATGGGTGAAAAAAATAATGATTAAGTATCTGTACTAGTTCAGGGGGAACCTCACGTCCATGCCTCTAGGCCAAAATCCACTGCATGGTATGGGCCTCGGATGGCCATGCTTCCCTCATGAGAACAAGGAAAACGGGTGGCTGACAAAAATTGATTGATTAATATATCACTAAATGAGTGTATTCTGTATACCACTAATGAACCCATGAAATTGCATGTATATGGTGCCATTTGAGGAGAACGAAAATTCAAATATTGAAACTGTCTCAGTGTGGTTGTCCAAATCCGGTCTTCGAGAGCCCCTATCCGGCCGGTTGTACGTGTTTCCCTTCTCCAACACATCTGATTCAATTAAATGATCGGGATCATTATCAGCCTTCTGCAAAGCTTGCTGATGAGCTGATCATTTGAATCTGGTGTGTTGGAGGAGGAAAACGTGTAAAATAGGCTGGAAAGTGGATCTCGAGGACCGGACTTGGGCACCCCTTCTCTAAAGAGTACCGTGACTATTTAATTATATCATACTATCGTTTTTTTGAATAGGAGACAGACCCCCGCACCCCCCAAGATGAATAAATAAATAATTCAGTACCCATCATAGCACAACACGAGCAAAGAGGAAGCCATACCAAAGGCTCATGATTCCATATTCAAGAGGAAATTTTGGGGTTTTGACACTGTTGTTAACCCCTTTGGGGTCAGCGGTATATAATTTAGTGCAGATGGGGGGGAAGTGACAGTGACTTTTAGGAATGCCGGGGCTCTTAGAATACGTCTCACCACTTGGCAGGGCATCAGGCACGAGTGGGCGTCGGGATCCTACGTGTAGCATCTGCGTGGATTCTTGGAGAAGCGCGCGCAGCCAAGGACGACAAAGAGGGTGTACGCATCAGTGCACAAATATGCGCGGCAAAAAAAAGAAAAGACATAAAATATGGGGCTCAAAGAAAGATTAGGTGAAGGGGTGGGGGAAGTCCCGTGGATGACTAATACTCACAGACAAGCGTCTTGGGATAAATTAGGATAAGAAGAACAGAGACCCTCAACGAATTATCTGCTATAGTGATGTTCATACAACGGAAGATGACCGAAGCCAAAAAGGTCTATCAAAACAGCTTCGGTGACAGTTGGCCAGGAGAAGTTGAGCGCATAAATTGACCCCAGGAAAACCGGAGGGGTATTTCTGCCTCTTTAAACAGTCTATGAAAGAAAAACAAAAACGGATGGCGGGGTCTGTAATAGTTAAAAATACTGGACACGGCACAACACAAAAAGTTCTTCCTGAAATCATGATTATTATTTTGAAGAGGAAGGTTTTGGAACAGATCGAAATATTCCATTTCCATCAATAACATGCCCCTTGTATTTGGTCGCGCCGCACGGAACAAACCGCCCACACAACTTCTCTTTTTCGAGATTATTTTCCCATTTTCGTCACAATAGAAAAACATGCAAAGGAAGTGGGTCTAAACACTCTGACCGAATGTGTCACACTATTAGGCGTAAATAGGTCGCCTCGAGCACATTGATTGCGATCAGAAACATCGCGCTGTCATCTCCCACTCGAAAAAAAAAAGCCTTGAGTGTCACCGCCTCAGCGGCGGAGGCTCAATTTACGCACAAGACGAGCTTACGTGATAATAATGCGCAGTGAAAAGAAAAAAAACAAGCCCATTAAAGCTTCACTGGCGCTCCGCACGCCTCGGCCCGCAACCCACACCGATCGTGTGTGGGAACATCTGTGATGTGAACAGTGACGTCTGAAAAGCTTTGGGTGGGTTTAGTTTCCTCTCAGCGAGTCCCCTTCTCCTCCCACCGAAACGCAGACCGGGTTGTTGCCATCTGCACGACCAAACACAACACAGTTACATATAAAACGACACATTGTAATCAGAGGGCAGATATTGCGCCTGGTCAGGGTCTATTTGACTGTTCAAGTTACATAATGTGTAGAGTGTGTCGCTAAAGGCCTACTACACTATTTTATCTTCTATCGGTTGAGAGTAAAATGAGTCCTGACGAGTGTGGTTAAATACACCCACACAGTATAGTATTGGCTCCGAACCAGTAGATATTTGAAACGTCTCAAAATTAAAGTCGTATAATTTGCACTGTATTGTGGCCTAGAAAAAAAGACAGGCCGGTCCTCTGCATTTTCATGAAGTGAATGAAACGTTTTTGAAGGGGCACACTGCCACCTAGTGGAGATATTGTAAAAGTGCAAACCCCATATCAAGGGTCGAAGTACAGTAAAAATTCGGCTTCCGCATGAAATGGGAGGTTGGACCTAAAATGCACACGTCACATCACATTTACAGTGAAGTTGGCTTTTTTCATTTAACTCTTTCACTCCCAAAGACATATTTATATGTCTTTTCACACTCCACACGTTCAACCCCAGATACTTTTTCCCCCCCAATTCAATTCAATTCAATTCAATTCAATTCAATTAAAAAAATTCAACAAAAAAAAAAAAAAGGGGGGGGGGTCTAGAATTGGCTGGTACTGAATGAATTAATGGGCAATTGGAGAGCAAGTATCTGTCTGTAACGATAGCGCTCTGATCTTTGTTAACTTGCAGCTAACTTTTTCTCAAAACATGTTTTTGTCATCTTTTTAATTCTGGTCAGCAGTAGTCACTGCATTCTGCCGCCTGAAACTGTCCTGGCACCTGTTGTTTTTAAACATTCTGAAATGTCCTGATGACAAGTGCCAGTAATTCAGTTTGGACTCACCATTTTTTTCCACGTTAAAGATAAACACAGTAGAAAGCCGTTGCAGAAGTGTGCACACCTTCAAAGCGCGTGCACGTTTTGATGTGGTGCTACTGGCCGATTTTTCCTTGCTAAAGAATTACAGTGCAATTAGATCGCGACTGAATCTTTGTGTCCTGTCTCCCTCGAGTCCACTCCGGAGTTGTGCCATTTGAATCCAGGTCAGGGCTGCCCAGGCCTCCAAATTCAGTCCTCCACTCGCGACGAAAACAATCTTTTCATTATCTGCCCCAGGTCATTCTGCTGCTGACTGAAAAACAAAATTGCTCTTCATTTACAGTGAAGCAAAATCCGACATGACAGAGCCTTGCTCTGTATATCCCCTCCTCTAATGCCACATAGCGCAGAGTAGAAATGTGAGATTAACTTTCAGAGAAAAAAAGACAGCAAAGTATCTGTAGGATTCAGATGATAGCACCCTGGATGGCTCATCTGCAGAGTTTGTTCAAAGAATGTCTTTGTGTGTGTCCTTGGACTTGCTTAGATGATAACACTGCATAGTTGCAATCATTCAACAAGTTTAATACACACGATCAATGTTTTTTTCTATACTAATTTTTTTGTCAACTCCACGGAACTGATTGATAGCTTCCAACTTTTACACCAGTTTCAGCCATGGGATTTGCTTGGACAACCAAAGAAGTAAATCCGATAACATAAAACCACAAGAGTCGCAGTTCTGCCCGAGTTGATGTAGCTCAAGTTATCACGGCTGATACCATGTTGCTCTTCCTTGTCAAATGCTTCAAATGGTTCCCATTTATTTGACACGAGGGTTGTAGCTAAAAGTTTAAGATAAATTGAATGATGAAGCCCATTGCAAATATGAACAATAAATTGCCTTTCAGAAACGTGTCTTTATTGAGAACATATACGAAAATTACACAAACACCAATTTGAGGGAACTTTCACTTAAAAAAAAACCTTTACATCAAACATTACCTCGAAATTGAGCTACATATCGTAATCAGAATATAATCAAACCACAGGACATTCAGGACCAAGCTAGCGGAATAATATCTCGCGTGTGCGTGTATTTAGAATTTCGAAGCGTATTTGAATTCTGAGCATTAAAACCGACATCCTGGTACTAAGCATGGAACTGAACTTGATTGTCTACAGGCCACTTCCACTTCCCTCCCCGTCGTCCACGATGACGGAACGTTTGCGCAGGACAGAATTCCCCTTCCTGCCGCCCCTGGTCTGCGGGGGCGGCCTGCTCTGACAGGGAGACATATACGGAGGCAGCCCGCTTTTGGTGGTATCAAACTCCTCCTGGGCGTCCTGTTGGGCCCGCAGGGCCGAGATCACGTCCTTATCCGAAGCGCTGAGGGTCAGGCAGCCGCACGGGCGAGCGCGGCCGTCGGGGCTGTCGTTCGCGCCGGCATCTGCAACCTCCTCGGATGCATCTTCGACTGTCATGAAGGCGTCGCCCCACAGGCTTTCACACAGATCTCTGCCATGTTGATACATCTGAACAAGAAGAAGGGGACATGCAGATGAAGCTATATTTTATGTTTACAAGCCTATAATCACAGGTTCATTTGAGATTAAGCGCCAGTTTCAAGCACCAGAGCGAGAGCTCGAGACCATTTTGGTGGTGGAAAAAGAAAGAACTGCTGCTAACCTGGGCACCGGCCCAGAATTAGAAGTAGCACAAGGGCTACCTGGGAGAAGTAAACAAATTCACGAATTCTTCACACACACACACACACAAACACACA